TGTGTGTGTGTGTGTGTGTGTGTCGCTACCACAGAATTACAAAGTCTATCTGACATTTTTGGCCGTTTTGAGTTACAAAGACTCCGAGGTCAGAAACCAAATGTTCTATCTGCTCTTTCAAAATCGTATATTTATTCTGAGTCGTCATCAAAGTATTCACAAATTGCATTCGAACAAAAAAGCTTGAAATATTGTGAAACTCAAAATCTTTACGTCAAATTTCTCAAACCTAAGTACTGGGCAGATAGAACTTTGTAAATCTGAGGAAGCGATATGTCATTTCATGGCCTGACACCCCATGGAACAATGTAATTTTAACGTCCTTTTCCGAGTTTAAAAAATAAGCCAAAAAATTTTTCTTAACAGCCTTGGGGGTAGGTAAAGGAGAAACCCCATAAAGTAAATTCCCCCATATCGATTTCAAAATCACATCTCCTGCCTTCACTGCCGAAGAACTTATCCATTACATCACAGACACCAGTCATTCCATGCTTCGTGGCCCAAAGAAAACACCTTTTTGTTGGGGAGAGAGAGAGAGAGAGAGAGAGAGAGAGAGAGAGAGAGAGAGAGAGAGAGAGAGGGGTGGGGGGGGGGGGGGGAAGGTGTCCTGAAAATTTATGTAATCTGTGTTTGCGTTGTCCAAAACTCAATCTTAGTTTCATGATTCCCATAATTCCCCATTGAGAATTGAGCCCCCATGCTATAATGCGCGCGTTTAGTTCGATGGGATGAGCACTCGACACAAAGAACATGTCCCCTGTCGACGAAACCACTTTTTACAGGGTATTTCGTTACCTCAGAATTACAAAGCTCTATCTGCTGAGTACTTAGTTTCGAGAAAGTTGACGTAAAAAATAAATTTTGAGTTTCACAACATGTCCTGTGGGGTTTGTTTTTTCGCAATCCCTTGAATATCTTGATAACGACTCCGAATAATCTCATAATTTTGATAGAGTTCCAAGAGCATTTAGCTTCTGATCGCACAGTCTTAGTAACCCAAAAGGGTTATCTGTCTGTCAGATAGAGCTTTGTAGTTCTAAGGCCGGCCTCACATAGGACATGCAGTGAAAGGCGTAATGGGAAACGTTAATTAAACAAGAAACGTGAAACTTGAAACATCAGGCAATCACAATAAGGTAGCGATTTGTCACTGTAAAGTCTCTCGTTCGTCGTTGTTTTCTGTTTGCTCTTACGCGAGAAGGAAAGAAACGTATTTATTTAGCCATGTAGACAAAATGGGCGCTCCATGAGCTCAGTTGATATTATTGCTGGATTACGGAGCAGAAAGGTGTGGTTTGGAAATATCCCCGTTGTCAGTTTTTGTACTCTGGTCTTAATGTGAAGTTTCAAGGCTCTTGACCCAATTATATCAGTCCTGTTGGAGATGGACGTTAACCTAATAGTGATGAAAAAGACGTTAAACCCATAAACTTACTCACTTAACTTCTAGGCCGTAGTAAGAAAAAGATACATACCTGGTGTTTTGTTTCTATACCAGTGGAATAAGTCTAAAAAAAATAATCGGGTTCTCTCCCTTAAAATCTTGGTACAAAAAAAAAACGCCAGCAAATTGTTGACTAAGCCCAGAAAGCAAACGTTTACTGAAGGGAGAGAGAACAAAACTGTTTCGTATTTCAACAATTGTTATATCTACACTACATATTATTTTTCTTGGTTTTCTTCAACATGTGCGTGTGTGCCTGTGTGTGTTTGTGTGTTTGTGTGTGTGCCTGTATTTGTGTGTGTGTACGACGTATGTAGGTCTTTGACCTCACATACGTTTAGAAACTCGCGCTCCTATCACCTTTTGTAGTTGCGAGGGGCGTTAAACTCTTACCAAAATAAAATAGAAACGTTCAGAACTTGAGTTTTGACAAAATGTTTCTTGAGCACAAGCAATTGATATCACAGACTGAGAAACTGCAAAGGGGGGGGGGGGGTTAATGCAAAAAAATGTGGGCTTTGTTCATTTTTACAGCTGGCCGACGATATGAATTCGCCTCCCGTGTTGATGAAGAGTGTCCCTTAAAACGTCCATGAACGTTACCGTATTCGTGTCAAAAGGATCTCCCTCTATTTATCTATCTATCTATCTATCTATCTATCTATCTATCTAT